GCGCTCATCATCAGAGGAGACGTCGGCGTCTTTTATCGAGGCTTTCCAGAGACAAGTCCCTACTTGGGAGCGGCTACAGTTAGGTCCATATTTGGACAGAGACAACATTTTGTTGCCTAGTCAGATCTTTTATTTTAACAAAAAGATTTAAAATTGGGGGTGGAAGGGCACTGTAGCATGATAGAATCTGAGATTTAAAAAACTTATAAATTTGGAAATATTTAAACAATCAGACTGTTGTAAAACAAAAATAAAATCTTCTGTTCTGGTGTTCAGACAGGAAGGATAAACAGTGAACAAAGAGCATTTTTATTGTTATCTTTAGAAATGGTACATCTACAGAGTTTCTTCATTAATCAACTGATTCCATTTCTTTTTCTTTCTGTTGTTGAAGTTCCTCCTCATGGTTCGTCTCTGTGTGTTTCTCCTGGAGGACCTCAGGAAGTCCATGTGATTGGTTTGCTTCTGTTTCTGAAGGTGCAACATGAGAGATTGTGAAAGAACCAGCGAGCTCCTTGAGGAAAGCCTGCTCAGCTTTCAGTTGAGCCAGTTTCTGGGTCAGCGGCGTCGCTTCTCCAGCAGCAGCAGGAGGTGCAGCGTTCTGAGCTGGGTTCTCCTCTTTTAGGTGTTTGGGAGCCTCCTGCACCTCCTCGGTTTCTGTTTCCTCCGAGGTGTTTCTGTCTGGTTGGACTTCCTGCACCTTCTCATGTAGACTCTTCCTTTCTTCTTGCAGAGCTCTGCACAGACTCTCAAGTTTCTGATTCTTGGTGATGAGAAGCTCAAACTCCTTTTCCTTCACAGCTTTCTGAGAAGCAGGTAAACAGAGACATGATCAGGTTTCTGTAGTAAATAAAATCAGACAGGGTTGGATGTTTGATGAAACAAATAAAAGGCCTGAMATTAAAATTGACAGAACGCATAAAAGCACTGCCTTTCATGAGAATCATCTTATTTAATCTGACAATGAGAAATTAAATCCATTTTGATCAAACTACACTAATGCAAAATTCAGCGGTGGGCACCAGTCCACTAAAGCACAGATCCGCTAATTGTGGACCTAAATTTTTAGTTTGCGCTTTAGCGGTCTTACTCATTTTTATAATTCATAAGCAGATTTGCGCTTTCTAAAATTAAAATGCAGTACTACTAATAACTAATTATCTACCAGTCATCATCATGTTGAACAGCAGAAGGTATGACTGTCAATGAATCACAACA